TGGATCCGTGCGGTAGAAGCACCCAATTTCCACTCCTACCTGCAAGCCAAGCCCACCAACGCCCCTTCCCCAGCCTACATGGACAGCTACCTCTCCGCCGGGCAGTTCAACATCATCTCCGGCCAACTAGTGCACTATCGCGGCGAGGGCGTAGCGCTACTATACATGAACGTCGAGGATCCCACCGACAAGACGCAGCGGAAGCTGCAGACCTGGTTTGCCGAGACGAAGAATGCGTATGGGACCTTTGTCTTCCAAGGGGATACGGTGACTTGGTCTGTGGCAGATATCAACCGGCCTAACAACGGGGCGTGGTTGGTTTGTGAGGACCAGAAGCTGTTTGTGAATACGGGGGCGTATGCGTATCTCACACCGGCGGGCTGTGCCGATGAAACGATTCATTATTATGGCGGGAGTACGGCGAACTCGTAGGTAGGTGCGGGTTGGTTATGATGGTCGGCTTGTAGGCTTCCATAAGAAGTTTGTATATACTTGTGGGGCTGACTACCGCCTGCACATAACTGGTGTGCGCATAAAGATCCGGTTAAAGTCATTCATCATGATCGATTCAGAGTCTATGAACGCTAAACTGACATTACCCCTATATTTCCTGACCACTGCTGCTCTATACGCTGATGGTCCGGAAGACGCTGAACTCCTCACCAGTGGCCATCAAGGTGCCTGGTATTTGCGGGTGCCAGTGAACCTCCTTGGCCATAGACTGGTAGTGCACGAACAACAACTGCGGCGGTACGTCCTGTACACCAGCTGTGTCCTTGCTCTCCTCGTCATCCAACTCCACAGCCAGATCCCACAAAGTGACAGTGTTGTCACCTGCCGCAACAGCCATGATGCTGTCGTCGGTGGGATGCCACTCGAGACTCGTGATCTGCTCCTTGTGATAGTTGAAGCTGGCAATTGCGCTGGGTTTGCCAGCCACGGAACCACCAGCGGCGCTGGGCTTCCAGTTTCTGAGATCCCACACAGCCCACTCGCCATCGTCGTGACCGGATGCGAGGAGGTGGCTGGTTTTCCTCGACCAAGAGATGACGTTGACGTCGGTGTTACTGACCTGCATGGTCAGGGCGGGCTTCCTCGATTTGCTGCGCACATCCCACACGCGTACAGTGCCATCGGCCGAGGCGGAGGCAAACACAGAAGCCTCACTTGGCGACCACTGAATATCCTCCACGCTGCTGGTGTGACCCTGGAATGGCCTGTTGTCGGTCACCCAGCCGCCACCATCGTTCCGCTTCGTGTTATAGATCAGACCGTCGTTGTCGCCGGTCAAGAGGTTACCAGCTGGGAACAGTGGTGACCAGTCCACGGCATAACCTTCAGACTTGTGTGCTCGGATCGTGGAGATGGGCTTGTTTTGCTGGGGGGTAATCACGGTACCCGGGGTATCAAAAGAGGTGAGATGTGGTGTGATGTCGTGGATATAGACTTGACTGGACTCGGTCATGGTGGCGGTAAGGGTAGTGGCAGGTTTTGTAGGGTCCTGGGAAGGTGTCTGGTGGGCTCGTATCCTGTTCGTCGTAGAATTGAGGGGGATGCTCTTCGACTCGATAATAGGGTCCGAATCCTCATCGTCCTCATCGTCTTCGTCCGTGTCGTCGCCATCGTCGCGCTGCATCTTGCTGAGACCGCTGAACTTCATCACCAACAGCGAGTTGTCGCCTGCCCGTGAGCTCTCTGCTTGTGTGCCCGCCACTGTGTACATGGTCGCAGGGTAGACCTTGCGGTTATCGCCCAAGCCATCCCTCACAATATCGAACGAAAGACAGGGCCACGGCATGCCGAGGTTGTGGAGCATCTCGTATGTGGTCGGATCGGGTGTCAAGGTCTGGCCGGGTTCGAGCTTCATGCGCCCGACGATAAAGGTTCCAGGGCCGCTATCCACGTCCATGGCGCCGGCTATCGTCTGGTCAGTTGGAGTCTAACCACAGGAATTAAGGTGACAATGCTTACCAGCCCGCTCTTCCGCCTCCCGCTCAGCATCCGGCCTGCCGTCAACGCCAGCCTCAATGATCTCGTCCTCACTTTCAAATTCATCCTCGAACTCGTCCTCAAACTGACCCATTTCCGGATCAACATCGACGTCCATGGCCTCCAGGCGCTCACCGCCCTTCAAAGGGCGGTCTGCCCGCTCGTTATCTGCTGCGCGTTTCGACATGGTGGCTGTTTGACTTTCTACAGATCGCAATGCTCTCGGACACTGTCGCGGGGCGCTGTGATGCTTTTGCGATCGTCAAAATGAAACTTTTTAGTGGAGCAAAACCTGTCCCCGCAAAGTGGCTCAACTTTGTGGCTCCCGCCGGTAAGTGTGGCTGAATTATGAGGGATACCTAGGTACCCGGTAAGTGATTTGCATAAAGATCGTTTAATGCATAACTCGTCACGACCATCTCGGTACAATCAAATACGTTACTTTTCACCTTCCGACCCTGAATCAATACAGAATTACAGCTAGGCTTGACGTACTAAACGTCACCACACATTCATTCCGGATTGCTGAATTTCTGTATATACCAAAAGTTGGTCCTTCGTTCTGAGACGTTGCAATGTATTCCATGCAGATGCACGGGTGCGGGAGTACGTCGAGGCAACGGAAGCAAGCCTCCGTTGTTCTTGGTGTAACTGCCAATACATTCGGAACGGGTCGTGGCATGGACTCGGGGAGATAACGCAACTTGTTCTCAGCCCTCGTCCCTCATTTCCCTTGATCATGACGGAAACGGTTTTGTCGTCGCCAGGCCCGTCGAATGCATGACCAGCTTCAATTTTGAAGCGAACGGCTATGGGTCATCATCTCATCCACAGCGTTCCCGCTGTTATGTCCCGGCAGCGGAACCTCCTCCTGACTGTTTGCCTTATCAGCTTGGTCACTTTATGGGGTTGTCGATTACCACGTCTCTGCATCTTTGACCAGTGCAACGCCGACATCACCGCTGGGCCGCTCGCCCATCGCAAGGTTGATCTTTCCAGCATAGAAGCGCCTTACATTGGCTGGCCACTGGAAAGAGTCTGCAAAGAGACACAGTTCACACCTGGTCTGGTCTTCATATGCGACAACAACTCTGGTGGTATCGGCAACATTCGCAACTACATCCTGACATGTGTACGATATGCGATTGAGGCCGGTGCCACAGGTCTTGTGATGCCGCAGATACGTACCAGGTCGGACAAGAACCTGGCCGATCTCATGCTGGACTATCGAGACTTTGACTATTTTTTCGACAAGGAGCACTTTCGAGGCGCTATGAACAGACACTGCCCGAGTATTCGTCTCTTCGACAATACCTGGGACATCCCGAACACCAAGGAACCATTTCAAGCGGAGAGAATCACTCCTCGTGATTTTGGATTACGAGGTGGGTGTGATAGCCGAGATCTGAACCGTCATACCGACCTCTTCAGACCTCGCTTTGATGCCTGGCTCAACGAAACTGCGCTCAAGTTTGATAGATTGATCCAGAGCTGGAAAGATCCTCGTGTAATCCGGCTGAACTGGGGAGTACAGTGGGACTGGCCAGTCCATCGCGATGGACCCGAGTTCGCCGCAACCTATGGCGGCCTCCTCCGCTTTCGCGGTGACATCGTCGACTTAGGAAAGCGGACTGCGAAAGCCATGCGAGATCTTACCCTCATGCGGAAGGGGGCGGGGCAATATGCCGGTTTCCATCTACGTACTGAAAGCGATGCTCTTAGTCAGTGGCCCGACTTCGAGCGTCAGGCTACAGAGTACCTGGCTGAGGCATCCACACGCAAGTTCCAGGCAGCTTACCTTGCCACCGGAAACGAGACCGAGGCTACCAAGTTCAAGGACAGAGCGCTGTCACAACACCGGATGCTGGTGGTCACGAAGCACGACATACTGCAAGATCGGACGGAAGAACTGAAGGCCCTGCAATCGTTGACATGGGATCAGCAGGCGCTTATCGACTACATCGTCCTACTAGAAAGTGACTTCTTTCTGGGGGTCAGCCCAAGCTCCTTTAGCATGAATGTTGCTTTGAAGAGGCATCTCCAGATGGATGGTCTGTTCACCAGGACTTGGAAAGTTGGGGGTGACGACGGCCGGAGTCGCATTGTAGGGAACTTCAGTCGATACTGGGATGACTGGCTGTTCATGTACGATTCCCTGTGGCCTTGAAGTGCTAACGGACACGAACTTCAACCTCTCCCTCCCCAACCGGCTCCTCGAAGCCCTGCACGTACTGGTCCAATAATCCCTCGTCAATCTCCAGTGCACAGTTAGCATCTACCCCTTTCTCCCTTCGTTCACATATCCTTCTCCAGAGGGTGTCTCTGTCCGCCTTGAAATATACCAACACACACCTCGCACCAGCCTTCTCAATCATCCCCTTGAACTCCATTCGGTCCTCCCGGGAGTAGAATGACCGATCCAATACTATATTCTTTCCGTCCTGGAGAAGCTGCTGGAACTGCTCGAGATAGATGTCGTCGGCTTCGGCTTGATACTCGTCGTATTTGGATGGCGGATAGTCTTTGCCATAGAGGCCATGCCGGGAATAGATTATCTCGTCGATAGAGATACGGGTGAAGGAGGGATAGGATGCTACAATGGCTTTTGCTAAAGTGGATTTGCCTGATCCTATGGTGTTGTCTGTCAGTCAGTCCAGCGCAGAACTTCATGCCCAGGGTTGCATAGTCCCGCTCACCTGCAATGCCGCATGTCATCAACACAATGGGCCGAGAATCCCCCGCTGAGCGGAGTATGAGCGAGCTGACAATATCCGGAATTATTGAAGCCATATTTGCGGACTGGATTCGTCGATTGGAAGACTTTCGAGCTACGGTCCGCGCCTTCATATCTGAGGTCGCACCAATCCAGAGATGACTCGAATATGTTCTGAGTCACAAAGGACATAACACGCCAATAAGATTATACTGTTTGCTCCGTAACAATCACCACATACCTTCAGCAAGAAACCAATGAAGGCGGGGGTAAAACAAGAAGAAAAGGCAAAAGGTTATGATGAGAGTGGGATTCGAACCCACGCCCGTGAAGACTACGGTTGTCGGAACATCCAAAGGAAGACCTAAACGTAGCGCCTTAGACCACTCGGCCATCTCACCATGTGATGTGGGGTCTTTACGTCATAAGCTATATATATCATGACTACAAAACAACATCAATTCCACGACCACGTATGTATACCTTCCCCTTTCATCTCCCATCTCACAAACTCTTTCTTGGACCATTTCACACGGTACTGGGTCCCAGTGCACTGATTGCGTCAAGTAGCAAGCTCTCCACCCAATGGATATCACATAAGTAGTGTTCGCTTGCCGCTATGCCAGGCCGAGGTCGCGGAGCATCTCCCTCCGTCCTCCATCCTGGTTTGAGCTGGTCGTCAGAGTTGAGCCTCCAACCATGTGAGGAGCAGAGGACTCTTGATGCTACCAAAGCTGGTACTCTTCTTGAAGGTTGGATACATCGATGAGGAGTCTTGCAGGCGAACTGTTCGCTGTATGCATATATAGGCCATGAGGTTCGTGTTCTTCGCGGGCTGCGATGAAGGGTCCATCCTTCCTCTCCTTCTTGCCTTGGTAGCTATATACTTGTCTAGTTCCACGCTCACATGATGCGTCCATCACTCTCCTTTCTCTGGGCATCCTCTCTACCCCTTTTACATGCTGCTTCCCTCCAAAAGATCACCGCAGACTTCTACAACCCCACAAACGTAGGCTTCTATCTCTACGTCCCCGACGTCCTAGCCACAAACCCCCCAATCCTTGTCTCCCCGCATTGGTGTCACGGCGATGCCCTAGCAGTCTACAATGGCTCCTCATTCGCATCCCTGGCCGACAAGCACGGCTTCATCGTCATCTATCCCGACTCCCCTAACACCGTGGACAAATGCTGGGATGTCTCCTCCCCCGGCACGCTCTCCCACTACGGTGGTCCGGGTGACAGTTTCGGCATCGTGAACATGGTGCAGTGGACCCTAAAACGGTATGCCGGTGACGCAGGACGGGTGTTCGTGACGGGTGTCAGTTCCGGCGCGATGATGACCGAGGTGTTGCTGGGTGCCTATCCCGATGTCTTTGCTGCGGGGACGGCGTTTGCGGCTATACCCTTTGGCTGCTATGCTGCGCCAGCTGGGACCGCCAACCCCTTTGATTACTGGAACTCGGACTGTGCGGAGGGACGGGTGACGCATACCGGGGCGGAGTGGAAGGCGATCGTGCAGGCTGCGTATCCTGGGTATAACGGGTGGAGGCCGAAGTTGCAGACCTTCCCTGGGACGGCGGACCAGGTGCTGAACTACACCAATCTGGCGGAGGAGGTGAAGGAGTGGACTAGCGTGTTGGGATTGTGTGCAAAGCCGAAGCAGGTGGTGGAGAATACGCCGTTTCCGGGGTGGACGAAGAGGGTTTATGGGAAGGATGGGTGGTTCGAGGCGTACACAGCTGCGAATGTGACGCATGATATTGGGAATCATGAGGATGTGGCTATGGCTTGGTTCGATCTGGCTTGCACGTGCACGGGAAAGGACTGCTTCCGCTGGGGCAAGGGAGGACCATTGGGGGAGAGTCTGGAAGGGGCGGCTCCTGCTTTTTGAATGCTACCTAGGAAGATTTGGGTTGTTATGGAAAAGAGTAATACAGACTGAACGCTATCATGTCACATCAATCCCCTTCGCCTGTCACTTTACACATCAGCAATGACCTTGAGAGCACCGCCAGCCTCTCCAGACTTGAGCAGAGCCTGTAGTATCCTCAGATCGGCAAGAGCCTCCTCTGGCGTCTGCAGTGGGTCGGCCTCCTTGGCCTCAACACTCTTGCCAAACGCGGCAACCTCGGCGGCGACACCGGTATCCCTGCTGAACTTGGTAGACTCGTCTTGCACCCCCTTGCGGGTGACCTTGACCTCGCTCGGGTTCCAGTTCACGATGCCGTTGGTTGTGACGATTTCGATCTCCAGACCAGACTTGAACTCGATTCCATTCGACAGGATGATGGTTCCGGCGGCTCCCGTGGCTGTTGACACGGTGGAGTGGATAGTGTCGACAGGCAGGAGTTCCGGTTGCAGGAGGGCTGAGAACGCAGCCAGGTACTTGACATCCTCGCCAAGAGCTCCGAGGAGCAGACGTAGACCAGCAGCAAAGTGGACACCTCCGTCAAGGAGGAACCCGCCTTGGTGCTCAGGTTGCTTGCGCCCTGCAGGCTTGTCAGGTTACCTCTCATGATGCAGGATTTATTTTGACTTACATGATGTGTTGAAGTACTTGTTATCCTTGGTAACATAGTTGTACATTCTCATGTGGAATGTCACCAACTTTCCACCCAATTCCTTGACTTTGTCATGAGCAAACTTCAGTGACTTGACGTAGCGGAAGTTCTCGGCCACGGCCCAGATGGGTGGCTGGTTGATGGACCGGTACCAGCTGATGAGCGCCTTGGCTCCAGCAACATCAGGAGCAACGGGCTTCTCGCTGAGGACGTGCTTGCCGGCTGCAAGGGCCTTCTCAACGACCTCGGGTTGAGAGATGATGGGCAAAGCCACGATCACGGCCTGGATGTCGTTCCTGGACAGCAGATCGTCGAGAGACTTACCAGCCTCCTTGGGTGTCTCATAGTACTTGTCCACAGGGTTCTTGGCAACTTCTGCTAGGCTGTCGACTGACTTGGAGGACCGTGAATAGACAGCAACCAGCTTAAGGTTGTCTGCTGCCTCAATGGCGGGGAGATGTTCTGCTTGGAGCATTAGTTCAGCCCACACTTGTAGGGTGGTTAACAGGACGACAAACCTTCCCGGGCAAAGATGCCTGCTCCAAGAAGTGCTACGTTGATCATTTTGGCTATGCGGATTTGTTGTTGAATTGGTCTCAGCAATTTGTCTGGTAAATGTCAAGACACAGCTTTTAGAAGCTGCCCCGCGTGCGTATCATGTATGATGTCAACAACGCTACGGAGTTCTCTCCATGTGGTTCTCCACTTAGCGTCCTAGTATTCCCAAACTAAGAAGCCGCGACTCAATGATTTCTTTCTTCAGTTCCCACACTGTCGCCGCACAACATGAATAGCTTCATCTCGACGGGCCGTTGGTCTAGTGGTATGATTCTCGCTTAGGGTCCACCCTATAGCTTCTGCATGCGAGAGGTCCCGGGTTCAATCCCCGGATGGCCCCGATGATGTCTGGAATACACTCTCTTCGAGTGTCTTCACCCTTTTGATGTCTTTTTCTTGGGGCTTCTTCGTCTGGCGCGGATTTCATCCCTGAAAGCAGAATTTTCCATTGCTATTGTTTTCTACCACTTGGCTGCTCTCCTTCAAGCGCTGTTGGCGTCCGCACTTTGAGGGGTTACGAGTCGTCCAATCCAGCAACCCTGACGCCAGGATGGACAAGCTTTGATCGTCAGGGGCAGATATCCACATAGGGCTTGACAAGTGGATTACCATTTGCCATTCATCATCTTAACCCGAGCTGGCAACTCTTACCAAGCACGAAGGACAGATGGCCGAGCGGTCTATGGCGCTACGTTCAGGTCTTGGATCATCCAAATGCTATTCGTAGTCTCGAAAGGGGCGTGGGTTCGAATCCCACTCTGTTCAGCGATTCCTTTTGTCTGCACCAGCCAGGTCCCTTTTTTAGCAATCTGGGAGATTCAAGTGGCTCCAGGACGAGTGGGAGGGCTCTTGTATGATGAAGGCTAATCGCTGCTGGGTTCGGAGTGAAAAGGCTTCATTATTGTCTAGCAAACGGTTGGCCCTAAGTGAAAGCTATCAACTGAGGACGATGTGTTCTAAACCGTATCTTCCACTAGAAAACTCCTTGCGGCGAGCGTTGTGGCCGTCGGAACTCGGCTCATCCCGTCTGGTCCGGCAAAAGTCGACGGCTATGCACGAGCAATCTGGGGAAGACTGGGCATGTGAACCACGTCTTCTGTCAAGCGTACATAGTGCTGAAGAAACGTGGGAGCCCACGTTACAGGGCCGACACCACTGACTACAAATGCACGATGTGACGTGACAGAGAGCTGCTTTTCGAGACGGGCCATGGTGCGCCGCACACCATGTCTGGTGTGTGAACCGGGTACCGCTCTCTTCTTTATATTGGCGGACGTTTACAGACCTACGTCAAGGTAACTCGAGATTACCGAGCAATATAGGGTATACCTATTATTATCCGGCTTTATATTGCGCACGTTCGCACTCAGTGTCCAGCTTCGTCTTCCTGCATACTTCGGGTAACATTACCAAAAGTCCTCTGCTGCCCTCTCCTTTGTCCCGGTGGTTCACTCATCTATGACCGGTACCCATCCCTGGGTGGTGAGACGTCAACCGACCGCATGCGATGCTACCATCGGATGGCCTAACACATTATATGATCGACAGGGACCTCACAGCTCTCCAATGGATTCTAGGGGCACGCATCTTGACTCGCTGGAATCATGGTCTCCTCAAGATTCCTCCTGGCTCTCGGCTGGTTCAGCATATCCTTCGCTTTCGCCGCCCAACTAGATGCCAGAGCCTGCACCAAGACGTACAAGGCAAAAGCTGGCGACACTTGCGCCTCTGTAGCCGCCGCCCAGAACACCACCGTGTCCCAGTTCCTGCTTGACAATCCGACACTGACTGGCTGTGACCTTGTGGCCGGAACAACATACTGCATTGCGGATGATGGTACAGGCACTACTCCTGACGCGCCACCATTAGCGGTCAGCAAAGATGGCAGCTGCGGGAATACGACAACATGTGCTGGCTCAACCTTTGGAAACTGTTGTTCAGAGCATGGCTATTGTGGAAACAGCGACGTCTACTGCGGTACCGGTTGCCAGCCTCTGTTCGGGACCTGTAATGGAGGCTCAAGTACGGGACCGACATCAGTCACAACGCCACCTGTTGGAACTAGTACGGTATTCGTCACATCTACGATCATCACTACCTCTGTGGTGAGCAGTACCAATGTGGTGAGCAGCACGACTGTTGCGACGCGGACGACGACCGTTTCGGTTGGAGCCACGGCTACCACGACGGCAACGATATCCTCCGTCGTCGTCACCACCCGCACGGCAGTCACTAGTTTGACGGTCACTGTCCCAGCTACAGCTACCAGCATTTCTGTCGTCACTATCACGAGCCTTCTCCTGACCACCAGCACCGCCGTAAGAAGCCAGACAGTCACCATCCCAGCCACAGTAACCAGCACTGAAGTCGACACCAGCATCCTCCTCACCACGAGCACGGCAATAAGAAGTCTAACCGTGACCGTTCCTGCTACCGTGACCAACACAGCAGTAATTACCAGCACTGCAACCAGAAGCCTCACCGTCACTATCCCAGCCACAGCCACCAGCACGGCCGTCATCACCTCCACAAGCATAGCTTTTGCCACGGCGACAACAACACAGACAGTCTTCGCAAGCGCAACCAGCTACCTCGTCGTGACATCCACCAGCGTCGTCTCAGCCACATCCGTGAGGACAAGCATCGTGTTGGTCACCAGCACAGCCGTAACGACCTCCACACGGGTGGTATCGAGCATCGTCCTGGCCACAGCAACAGAGACCGTGACCGTGACCTCGGCCAGGGCCACCGTAACGAGCGTCATCACCGGCCCATGTTCGCCCACTCGACCAGATTCACCTATCAGCAGCACGTGGACTCGAAGCACATCAGTGCCCACAACGACGTCTTACCCCACCCTTCCCACTCCTATGTTTCCCGGAACCGTTGATGACTGTGAGTGACGCGTGGAGCAACACCGTCAGGAGATAAGGCGCTAACTGTGTACCAGGCACAGACTATGACAAGATCCGGTCCGGAGATACATGCCAGAAGTTCGTGACCAGGAATGGCATGACGTTTGCTCAGCTGTGAGTGTAGCTTCACCCGGTGAAAGATTTGTTGACTGACCTGATGGCAGATATGCATGGAATCCATCGATAGACTGCTCCAATCTGTGGGAAGGTTACTATCTCTGTGTCTCGGCGCCATGAGACGGGCCCCCGTATCGGCACAATGGGAAGGAGAGGACCGGTAGTTGGATGTGAAGGGGACGCCAACTAGTTGATCAATGATCATAGAACACGTCCCAGTCATGTCTGGCTTATCCCTCATCGGGTCGTCTTATTCGTGGCATTGCCAGGTGGTTTGGTGAAGAGTGATCATTGTAGTCAACACGATCCCATGGCGAGTAGTTCTTGTGCGTCCATCCATTGTTATTGCAAGCACGTATCCGATGTTTGAGCCATCTCACACGACACCTTACCAGCCTTGGACGGAATTGTGAAGGAAAAGGCCATGACTATGTGAAGTTTCCACCCATCGTCCCCCGAGATCCGTCAAGGCAACTTCGGCCAGATGCTGACAGGCAAACACGGGCAGGTTACCACAATATACCGTCCGCAGCGATGATTCATGTATACGTATTGGGACATCTACCCATTGGTGTAGCATCTTATTCTGGTATAGACAACTTGCTATGCTCCAATCGCAACTCGAGTTTGCCCATTGGTCACTCCCACTGTCTCCCATCTATCTACCCTGTCCAGCCATAGCCACACCTTCTACTCCTCATCCACAGCAGCCATCCTCCTCTTCCCATCTTCCCTCTTCTTCTTCCCCCCATTCTTCGTCACAAGCTGGCTGAAGTTGGGGTTCTGAGCAAGGCTAAAGTCGTGACTCCAATACCCAAAAACGTCATGCACGGAGAAACTGCTGGAGGGGTTGCTCGGCGAGCTCGGCTTCGTCCCGCTGTACGCAAAGGCGAGTCTGTTGCTGCCCTTGGGGTTGAGGAATTTCTGGTTGCCGTTCTGAACGGCGTAGGCCGTGCATCCGGAGCACTTGGCGGTGAACTGCCAGTGGGTGCCGTTGCTGCGCGTGCCGGTCTTGAAGACTTGGTAGGTCGCGCCGGAGTAGGTTGCCGGGAGGGCGTGGGCGCTGGCGATGTCGTCAGTCATAGTAAGAGTGCGAGGGAAGCAGTGGGAGGAAACATACGTGGCATAGCGGCTGGAGACCACCACGCTCCCGCCGTTGGACCATGAGACGGTGAGCGGATCGTAGGTCATGGATCCACCCCATGCGAGACCGAGCCAGCCAACGTCGTTCGGCGCCACAACCTGTATCACCGTGTCGTAGGCAGCACCATTCTGGGCATCCGAGGGCACGGCGATGCGGAAGGTGAGGTATTTGCCCGACAACGAGTACGATGCCTGATACTGAGAGAAGGTGAACCCAGTTTCGGCGTCGTTATAGACGGTCGCAGCCGTATCTTGAGGCGCTGCGGATGCTGGCTTGCTGTTAGGATCGAGGCCTCCACGGGAACAACAACACCGAAGAACATACCGAGGCCAAGTATACTGGTCAAGCATCCGAGACCCAGTGTCCACCGCATCTTGCACACTTTGCTGGATCGTTGATGGAATGAGTATGATCGGTTTCGTCGTCTTTCTATGTTCTTACTGTCAGCTGGCACTTGGTCACGAACATAATGTAGATGACAGGGACGTACCGAGCGCACAACGGTTCTTTGGGCGCTATTGTTAAGGAGAAGTATCGGCGCTAGAGGCCAGATATCCTCGTATCAACTGCAGGAGTTAGAGTTATGTGTGTAACCAAGCGGCGATCTGGACTCTGGCCAGGGAAGATCTTCGCATTAAGTATATGTCTAGCCCCGTCCGAGCAACACAGCATGGCATACTATATGACGGAAAGACAAGATTGATTGCTGTGGTGGCCAATGTTGTGTTCTTCTCCTCCGGTGACGTCTTGGTGTGAGTTTCCATCACTCCTTGCGCACCAATTCTGCGGTCTGTATTAATATGTTAATATCTGTAAACGGGCCATGATTGGCGGTCGTGTATATTGTTGATATGTTTACCCAGAAAGCGGATAAATGCCGTCCATGGGGGTTGAGAAGCCAAGCTATAGGACAGATCACATATACCTGCTTTAAGATCACCATGTGAGGTCTTTCACCCACAACTGGTTATCAAGCCCGACCAATGCAACCTCCTTCGACTGGTCGCTCTATAGACATATTGCTATCCCGTCGTGGGATGACCTCTCGGCCTTGGCCGACAGATGCAGGCTGCTACCAGCGGCTCTCTTCAGTCGTGCTCATGATTATCATCACTATCCCATGATTGGCCGTACCGACTATCTGGGCGCCTTGAGATCTATTTTGGTTCGCTATTGTTCTGGAAGGTGTTTTTATATTCTTGCTGCCATGCTTGTGGGACAGTCTGCACATGGCATTGTAACAATGTTGCTGGGCATATTCTCCGTATTCCGCTTGGTCCAGGCCGGAATAGACAAGCAGAACGTAACGCTACCCCACGAATATTGTCGCAATTGTCGGCTCGACATGTACCGGGTGCGACGCTTCGAAGCTTCCAAATCCTTCCACATCCTTGGCAATGTAAGCATGGAAGAGCAAGAGGACCTGTGGCGCTGAGCACATGCCAACACACCCCTAGGGAGTTCGTCGATCCTCACTGTGACAGCTTGGCGCAGTTCTCTCGAGTAGGGACTGGTCCACATAGTCGCATCGAACTTCGTCACAGAGCTCGAGGTCGAATTAGTACAGCACCCTCTCCTCGCGGAACGGT